TCCATACTGCTGAAGTGATCTACAGATTCAATGCAATCTCTATCAAAATCCCAATGGCATTTTTTACAGAATTAGAAAAACAATCCTAAAATTCATGTGGAACCACAAAAGACCCTGAATAGCCAAAGCAATATTGGGAAAGAACAAATCACAATTCCTGATTTCAAATATACTATAAAGCTACAGTAATTAAAACAGTATAGAAGATATATAAATGGTCAATAAGCACATGAAAAGATACTCAACATCACTAATCATTAGGGAGATGTAAATCAAAACTGCAATCACATACCACCTCACACCCATTAGAATGGGTACTATGAAAAAAAAATAGAAAATAACAAGTGTTGGCAGAGAAGTGGAGGAATTAGAACCCTTGTGCACTGTCCGTGGGAATGTAAAATGGCATAGCTGCTGTGGAAAACAGAATGGCAGTTCCTCAAAATATTAAAAATAGAATTACCATATGATCTGGCAATTCCACTTGTGGGTAAATACCCAGAAGAATTGAAAGCAAGGTCTTGAAGAGATATTCATACACCCATGTTCACAGCAGCATTACTCACAATAACTAAAATGTGGAAACAATCCAAGTGACCATCAATGGATGAATGCATAAGCAAAATGTGGTATATACAAATAATGGAATATTATTCAGCCTTTAAAAGGAAGGAAATTCTGACATATGCTGCAACATGGATGAACCTTGAGCTCATTGTGTTAAGTAAAATAAGCCAGTCACAAAAAGACGAATACTGTATGATTCCACTTATATGAGGTACCTAGAGTAGTCAAATTCATAGAAAGAGAAAGTAGAATGACAGTTGCCGGGGGCTGGGGGAGGAGGAAATGGGGAATTATTATTTAATGGGTATAGAGTTTCAATTTTACAAGATGAAAACAGTTATGGAGATAGATGGGGGGTTGCACATTACAAATATATTTAATACTACTGAATTGCACTCTTAAAAATGGATAAGATGGCAATTTTATGTTCTGTGTATTTTACCACAATAAAAAAATTGGCAAACAATGGTATGGTACTGGCATAAAGACAGACATCGAGCAATGGCACAGAATAGAGAGCTCAGAAATAAACCCACGTATATACGGTCAACTGATCTTCAACAAGGGCACCAAGGATACACAATGGGGAAAGGAGAATCTCTTCAACAAACAGTCTTGGGAAAACTGGATATCCACACATAAAAAGAATGAAATTGGACCTCTATTATACACTATACACAAAATCAACTCAAAATGGATTAAAGACTTAAACATAACATCTGAAACTGTAAAACTCCTCAAAGAAAACATAGCGGAAAGCTTCTTGACATTGGTCTTGGCAATGATTCCTTAGATTTGACACCAAAAGCAACAAGCAACAAAACCAAAAATATATTTAGGACTTTTTAACATAACTTCCAGGAAAGAATCAACAATAGTGATACCCAGCACTTACTATGTGCTAAGCTCTATTCTAAGCATCATTTAATCCTCCCAACAACTTTATGAGGTAAGTATTATCACTCTTTTTTTACTGATAAAGGAAACTGAGGCAGAGAGTGGTTGAGTAATTTGTCCAGGGTCACACAGCTAACAACTGGAGTTGCTGGAATGCTAATCCAGGCAGTCTGTGTGCTTAACAACATAATACCATGCCAGTAGGACCCTCATGATTCCACCTTCCTTCTAACAAGAGAAGAGATTTAAAAAACTAAGTGCATTCTAACTCCAATCAGGCTGAGATTAAGCAGTCATCAGAGTCTCCTCAAACAAGCCATTTTGTGGGACGAATTAGCACACCAGAATCTGATTCTTAGAAAAAACTAAGACTCTAGTGACAAAACAAACCTCACTCATGTTCAAGAAAAATACTTTTCTAAACTTGGCTAGCAGAAATGTAGGTGAATTTCAAGCAACAGCAAAAGATATTGAAGCACGTTTGCAACGAAATACTAAATTTATCAGGAGAAAAATTAGTATACGATCATTAGAATAAAATAATGTAATGAAAAACTGTATCCTGAGATAAACAGACATTAGCACTGCATAATCTTAAAGTTTAATTCAATTCAATTATTTTTGAGTACCTACAATATACACATTATGTAATGAATGTTCTAATACCTAATAGATTCTCAAGAAATGATAATGATACGTGGCTGAATCCAAGTTTCTTACCATGAATAAAATAACCACTCTTGGGGAAGAAATATATAGGTAGAAATGGCCTAAAGAATTTGCTAAGTCTATTGCCCACTTCCAGAAAGGACTAAAGCATACTTAAACGTTTGTAGCATTAGTTTAGAGGAAATCTATGATTAAGAAAATTCAAGAGATGTGCCCTTCTGAGTAAATAGGCAACGTTTCGAAGAGTTAAGCATCACGCATTCCAGTCCTGCTTTGATACAGAAATGCTTTGTGATCTGTGTTGCCACTTAGCTTCAGAGCCAGCTCATCTCCAAAATGGTTCTAATAATATATGCTTAACTTATTTCACAAAAGATTATAAGTTAATTAGTATTTATAAAATATCTAGAGATATGTTAATAATACTTTGCAGTCTCATAATACCTGTTACCCAAGAGACTCAAGACTTATAAACTACTACACTGACAATATATACTCTATTTTTCTTGTTTTATTCCTGGGAAACATGGGCAAAAGATTAAAATTTTGACCAGGTCACAACAAAATCAGTAACAAATCTCTGAATATGAGTTGCATCTCTTAACTTATCACACATTGTTCCAAACATGCGCTAACGTGGTCTGAATGACAGGTTTAGATTAATTATCTTAAAATATTTTTGGTCAAAAAAATCCATGCATTCTGGTCCATTAAATATTCCATATATTTAGGGGTAATAATGTTGGATGTTTTTCTAAGTATTCAAAATTCACAACATTGGAAAATTCTCATTCAGAAAAAATTACTGTTTCAAAACTATAATTAGTTAACCGATCAATTTGTACCATTATGAGTGGTAGAGACCTGACTCTGTCTGGCATGTTCATTTTATTATAATAATTTAAATAATTAACATTTACAAAATGTTTGTGCCCTTCAGACTGTTTTATAGTCATTAATTATTGGAACTTCTCAACATTCATTTGAGACAGTTCAACATTATTATTTTCATTTGCCCAGCAGGGAAATGAAGCACAACCAGATGGGAAAATTTCCTGTGAGCATCAAGGCAAGAGAATGAAGAGTCTGCTCACCTATGACAACTAATCTTCTATCTAGAGTACGATAATTATTAGTTTTCTAGGTAGTGATGAAAACATCCCTCTCCTTCATATATTTTACTCTCCACTCACCAATATGAAGCTCACTTCTCAAAATAATTCATAATATCTTAAATACATAAATTTAAACTAAAAGGCAGTAAACAATATTTTTGAGGTAGGGATATGACCATTTTGGATACTCAGAAGTTCTTTAAATGGACATTCTGCTCCTGGACTAAATCAAGAAATCTCAATACAAATAATTTTCTGTCAATGCCATATATTCATTAATTTTAGTTAAACTGACAGGGAAAGTACTACAGAAATTCTATTATTTCAGTTTTCAATTTAAAAAATCCATTGAAGAACTCCCACAACCAAAGGATCACTATATATTGAGAGTATATGATTTTAGTAAGAAAGAAAATACTCAATAAAGCATGAATAAAGAGATACTCCATAAGTACATGCAGGACAAAAGCAGTAGACATTTCTCATTTGAATCGTTAACCATTTGTCATATAGGGGGGAAAAAACCAGAATCTATTCCAAAGGTTAAAAAGATGTACATTTACTCAGATTTAATTTTGACCTTTGAAAGTATGATTTAGTATTAATCCACCTGGAACATTTTTCATATACAAAGATATCCTTGGGACAGCTTTCCACCTACAGTCTGGACACTATTAAAAATCACCCAATAATGAAAAACAACAATTAGGCTGCGAGTAATATTTTATGGCTGATTGGCATAGTTAAGAGTGCAATGACCTACTGAATCCTATAAAAGGCCAATGAAGCTAACTTCTATGGGTGGTGTACTTTGGCTTTGCTCTTCTCTGAGAAAGGGTCGCTCAGCTCTGCTGTCGCCATGTCTTTCCGACTCTCTAGTGGATCCAGGCGGGTCTGCTCGCAAGCTGGCTCTGGTCGACTGCCTGGTGGAGGAACAGACTTCAGGGCTGGGAATATGTGCGGTGGGTCAGGAGCAGGAAGCAGCTTTTCTTGTACTCTTGGGAGTGTTTCTTCTGGAGGAGGTTTCTGTAATAGTGGTGGAGGGTTGGGAAGCGGTGTCAGTACTGGGTTTCTTGGAAATGAACAGGGCCTCCTCTCTGGGAATGAAAAGGTGACCATGCAGAACCTCAATGACCGCCTGGCATCCTACCTCGACCACGTGCAAGGTCTGGAGGAAGTAAACGCAGACCTGGAGCAGAAAATCAATGGCTGGTATGAGGAATATGGGCCCGGTTCTTGCTGGGAACTCAATCATGACTATAGTAGATACTTGTCAGTCATTGAAGATCTTAAAAGGCAGGTAAGAAATATGGATTTGTATACTTTTACTACAGACTTTGGGTGTGCATAACCTAAAAAAGACAAGATATAAAACGTGCTTAATAAATTTACGTGGTATGGAATTGGCTCACTCCATTTTCCAGTGCTTAAGACAGTGCCTGGCAATAAAAATTTGTAGAATTAATTAATGAAAGAGAACTAGTTTCAAAATAGATGTAATCACTTTGTTAACCTTATATTTAGCTCTACTTTTTGATCAAGAGTAGTGAAAGTATCCACGATAGCAACAGCTTATACCTCGGCTCTCAAGCTCTGGACATTTATATCTGAAGAAAATCTAGATTCATTTACTGTAGGAAAAAAATGATACTAAAATAGATGTTTGACAGGTTAAGAAGATAAGACTCAAACTTAAATCTGGAGGCTCCCTTGACTTTCGGTACTTAACATTTTGCACAATCTACTCTCTTTAGATTATTTCTGTGACCGCCTGTAACGCCAGCGTTCTTCTACAAAATGACAATGCCAGACTGACCGCTGATGACTTCAGGCTGAAGTAGGTGAAAATAATTAATTATATTTAAGGTAAAACTACTACAGTTGGAGTCAACGACATATCTTTTGCTTTAAAAACCAACATGTTTTTATTGTCAGACTTGATTACTGAGGAAATTAAGTTAAATATGCCCTTATAAAAAGAGCTATCATAAATTTTAAACAATGCTTTCATTCAACTGTTAAGCACCTTGGATGACAAAAATCAATTCTGAAGAAACAACTCCTCCAAAATACTATTCATAAATCAGTAGGTATTCCAAAGTGTTTCATCACTTTGCTGTCACAAGAAGCTTCAGAAGTGTGTACAGAACGTCATGTCTTTCAGATATGAAATGTATGAAAAAGTTATGCTTTGCACCTGCCTCTGATCACAATTCTCAAGCATCTTAATCACCTTTCAGATATGAAAATGAGCTTGCCCTGCACCAGAGCATTGAGGCCGGCATCAACGGTCTTCACAGAGTCATGGATGAGCTGACCCTTTGTACAACCGACCTGGAGATACAGTGTGAGACACTCAGTGATGAACTGACCTACCTCAAAAAAAGTCACGAGGAGGTAAGGAACGCTACAGAGTGGCTTCGTGTAGGATCTGACGCCCTTCCTCAAGTCCACTGTTCATTTCATACCAGAGGGTGACTATCCATCAAATTTCTACCTTGTGTGTTAAGACTGATCCCTTTTCCAGGAAAAGAAAGTCCTGCAGTGTGCAGGTGGGGGGAATGTGAACGTGGAGATGAACGCAGCCCCAGGAATGGATCTAACCGTTCTGTTGAACAACATGAGGGCTGAGTACGAGGATTTGGCTCAGCAGAACCATAAAGACGCTGAGGCCTGGTTTAACCAGAAGGTACGTCTGTGGAAATCACACACCAGGGGTTTGTTCAGTAGATCCATGAGCTGGTGGCTAACCTTCTGACAATTATGCTTCAGAGAGCTTCGCTGCAACAGCAGATTTCTGATGATGCAGGAGCAGCCACAGCAGACAGAAATGAGCTGACGGAACTGAAACGCAGTCTGCAAACCTTGGAAATAGAACTTCAGTCCCTCATGGCCATGGTTCGTAGGAGTCACCATTGATTTGAATGTATGTGTGTATAAGTAAATACATATATATGGCTGAATATACATAACTAAGCATATATAACTAAAAAATAAGCCATATTAAATATATATAAATATATTAAATATGTATCAAGAATTTTGTCCATAAACATCACTTCTGACTCACCAGTACCGGAACTTAAAGAAAAAGTTTTTTTCAATGGAGAGAAAATGGTTTCTTTAAGCCTTGCTAATGCTGGTTTTCAACTGAAAAGATTTAGACCTCCTGCAAATATTTCTTTCCACCTGGAGCATGTTTAAAATATGAACGTATCATTTATCTTTGACACATGCAAGCCTTGCTTTGTTCTTTCAGAAACATTCCTATGAATGCTCCTTGGCCGAGACCGAGGGCAATTACTGCCTTCAGCTCCAGCAAATCCAGGATCAGATTGGGACAAGGGAGGAACAACTACAACAGATTCGAACAGAGACAGAAGGCCAGAAGCTGGAGTACGAACAGCTTCTAGATACCAAAATATTTTTAGAAAAAGAAATTGAAACTTATTGCAAATTAATAGGTGGAGAAGAAAGGTAAATGTTAACTTGGGAAAAAAAATAATCTCATATCAACTAGGTCTTCTCAAAACACATGAATATCAATATTGTATCCTAGAATTTCCTGTTCTAAAGATTGTACCTATATGGCCTCAGGAATTTATTATTGCACCCAAGTGAAATGAAAACAGGCAGCAAAATCAAATTTGTAAGTATGCAAAGTATCTGTATCTAGAGTAATAGGTAGAACATTTAAATATCCAATGTTGAACAATTCCAGGACTCCAATCCAGGGGGAAAATTGTTCTCTGATTTAGTGTTGAGGCACGTTTCTAATAACAATACACTCAATTTTACTGTTACTTCACTAGTTACCACACATGCACCCTGTATTAAGTGGGTTATTACATTTTCATTTGAAAGATGAGCAATGAAGATACAGGAAGATTTAGTTGGAGAAATCACCATAGCTTGTAAGCCAAGAGCAACAGCCCTGGGTGCGAATCACACCACTGCATGAACTTGAGCACATTGCTTAACCTCTATCAACTCCAGTTTCCTTACTGGTAAAATTGCCATAACAGCAAAACCACACTCTGAACACTTTTAACCATTGAGCCTCGCTATGTAGGCAAAATGCTCATGACAGTGGCTTGCACACGAAAGGTACTTGGCGATCAGTGGCTATTACTAAATGCTGCCCATGGTCCCACCATGAGTCAGTAACATCTTACTCATCCTCCAAGGCCAGCGTCAGCCCTCTACAGTTTATTCTCATGAGAACTCAACAGTGATTGCTCCCTCCTTCGAACAAACTGCTTATTACACCATTCATTTTTCACTTCTCTTACAACACCTTTATGCCATGTTGTAGATAACTTTTTACTTGCATATACTTTATTTTATTTTCAACACTGTAAACTGCTTGTATCTTCACTCTATATTTTCTACAGCACCTAGCCTAGCACCTTCTGCATGGTAGGCTCTCCAAACATGTTCGTTGGCCAGGAGATTGACTGAAAAGTCAGAATGAGAACTTGGAGTCCCCAAATTGCTAAATGAAAGAGATATCGGGTCACAAGGGAATTTTTGATCATAAATATCCATTTAACCTCTTCTTTCACTATACTGAAGTCATGAAAAGCTTACTAATGTCTCTGAAACATAAGAGGAATTTGAATCTTATTGAAACTAGAACTCCAAAACTTTTATTCTCAATTCACAGTTATTTATGAGCTCCCTAATGAAACAAAAAAATTCAATGATTTACTCTTCTCTTCACAGAAAAAGCAAATCTACATGCAACAAATCGAAAGGACGCAGGCCTGTAAATTTCAAAAGTCACATCAAAGGTATAGCAGGTTTTACTTGGTGTAACTCTTTTCAACTCCAGCAATTGTATTAAATAAGTCACTTATTTGTAAACTAAATAAAATTGTTTCTAAATTTAGTTCTAGTGAATGAAGGGATAATCGGTCATTATGACAGTTCTTAATATTTGTATTTTATATTCTTGTAAATCAGATGTGGTCAAACTATGAAATTATTGAAATGAAGAATCAATCCTGCAACATCTGTCTTCCCTGGAACCTACTTATTTACTTAGAACTCACTTATTTTCCCAGTTCCAATGCTTTGATAAAAAAGCTACTTTATTTTAAACCACAAAAGTAGGGCAAGTTGGTGTTCAAAAGAAGACAAGATTACTCGCTCCCGGCCTGTACTTGCCTGATCCCTTATGTTGTTTTAATCCATGTTTCATTTACGCTTTCAAACACCCAGTGTTCTGAAAACAGTGGTAAATATAAGATAGTCCCTGGCCTTGCTAAGCATAGACTTCGAACACGGTATTATATCTCAATTTACGGCAAACTTACAAACACCATTTTTTAAATACCTTTCAACCTGTTAAGAATGTGTACTACACTTTCATTTATTTTATTTTAGACTCCAAAGAAGAAATTGTTGTCAAAACAGTGGTTGAGGAACTGGATCAACTCAGCAATGTCCTTTCACTGAGAGTCCACTCGGTGGAAGAAAAATCCTCTAAAATAAGCAACATTACAGTAGAGCAACGAGTACCTTCCAAAGCCTCATAAGGAGAAGAAAGTTATTTTTTGTTAAAAGTCGCCCTTTGCAAAATCCTGTTGGCCAGAAAACCCAAGGAAATCATTTATTTCTGTTCTTAAAAAGAAAATGGCTAGAATTTGTTTTCCTTCTCTTCTTTTTCTCCTGGTCTTTGCATGTAATCCTTCTCAGGAGTCGGAAAAATCTTGATCTGTCCCTAGTTTTTTACTTTAGGGGTTTTTTGCCATTTCATTAAGAAATTTTCTATTGCAAGTTATTTGTGATAAATCTGGTGCTTTTGAATTTCCGCAGTTGATCTCAACATGACAGTACTAAGGATATGCTAATAAAATAAAATACTTCACTTCGCAGTCAATTTACTTCAATTCATGACAGGATCAAGCAGAAAGATTACTAGCCCTAACCTCTGGTCTCAATTCTGTCCCTGATTAACGATGTAAGTGACTAGATCTCTTAGGTTTTGGGCTTCTGTGGATGTAAAAGAAGATTATACCTGTTGATCATTAGGATTTGTTCACCCTTATAATGGCTAGCCTGCATGCGTGATCAGCTAATGTTAGTCTGTTGAATCTGAATCTGGAGAGCTGTTTTTCCACTTTGCAGTACATGCATCTCTCTGCCCCTACCATGGATGTTACTAAGTAAATTTAGAACTGTGCTACTCAAGCCTGGGGTGGTTCTCAATCTTGCTCATATCCTCCTCCACACAAGATGCTGCCTGACATCCTTACCAAACTATTTTGGAAAGTGCAGCCAGGGCTGGACAGCAGCAAAGTTCTAGGCTAAAGAGGTTTCTTTCATCTGGGGTGGAGTGAGGCAGGGAGCTCTGCAATTACCTAGATTTCCCACTTGCAGGACAGGGCATCACTAAAAGGTTTTCACCGACTGGTATATAGGCAAGGTGGAATTCAAAGTGGCCCATAAACACAGAACTGCACCACCTCGAGGAGCAGGGGACCCTGAGGTTTCATCTCCAAGTCTCAAAGATGGTCTCGATTGCCATTGTTTCCTCCTCCCACATAAAGTAGTTGACCTCAGCCCAGAGACAGTTTCTTGAGACGTGGGTACAGCTGAAGGTTACCTTTCCCAGAGTCTTCTTGCTATGAATGGCCCCATGGTGATAGAATACAACGGAGAAAGAAAAGTCTCTTCAATAAATGGTGTTGGGAAAACTGAACGGCCACATGCAGAAGAATGAAACTAGACCATTATCTCACACCATACACAAAAATTAACTCAAAATGGATTAAAGACTTGAATGTAGTACCTGAGGCCATAATTTCAATGGTGTGGAATTGGCTTTAGTTAGATTAGAAGTACTTTCAACTGCAGGACCATAATGACAATATCTTACATTTACTGAGTGTGTTTTATCTCACTTTACATGAATTAACAAATTTAATCTTCATAAAGGCTTATAAAAGTAGGTGTTTTTATTATCTTTACTTTACATATGATACAGACATTCAAAGAGATTAAGTAATTTCTCCAGAGTTACACAGCTGATATGTGACGGGGTCTAGATTCAAATCTAGATCTCCCTCTCCATCATGGTGACTGGAGTCCCATTGACCAGAAAAAAATCAGCATAAGAATTTCACCCAAGCACATTCTATTTTCACACGAAGATTCCATTGCCACCCAAGAGGCACCATAATCAGGCAGATCCTTGTGTGCATTATCAGCAACGACACAATAAGAAGTCTGGCTTCTAGTTGGTGTGAAGACATAGTCTTTTCCTCTCTGTTTATTACCCATCTCCAGCTTCTCTCCAGCACCAACCTTCTCTGTTGCCATATTGATTAAGTCCTGGTCACCACATGCCCCTCTCTCTGAAGCTACAGTTTACCTCACTATGCTTTGTTACCATCTCATTCTTACTAGTAGAGTCATCCAGAGGCTCTGTCTCCCAGGAACTGGAGGACTAGAGCCACAACCTCATCTCTTAAGACACTCGGCTAATCTACCATCTTACACCACAATGTTTCTCTTGTGACCACCAGTACTAGTTATTCCTTGTTCTCAATAGAGTTCTTACTCTTTCTAAGAACAATCTGACTAACTTCCATTTTTCTGTATCCACTCTTCCTACTTAAACAGATAAATAGACTTACCTATCTACATTATCTACATGAGACAGATTTATATTTGATGCAAGCATAAACTATGATTCCAAAATACACGTTTTTAGCTAACAACTATGCTTCTTGAAATGAGGGTTGGAAAGCTTAAGTACTCATCTTCATTTCTAAGAAGTCAGTATTAGCAAAAAATTAACAAGTGAATGCCTGTCACCAACAGTGGACAAATCCCAAAAACTATTATTGGGCATCTTAAATTGTTAACTACCAAACCTTGTCCAGTATCCATCATTCAGACACCATGGCTAGACAGAACGTCCTAGACAATTCACTTTCAGGCCCTTGGAAACCAATATTTTACAGAATAGGCTGAGAAAGTACTACTCTGTAAAGTTAGGACCAATAGGAATCATCATTGGAGTTCATGGTGAAACACGGACTGAGGAACAGGCAGGATCTCCCTCCTGACAAAGACAGCAAAATGTCTGTGCAGGAAGGACACAAACAGTATTGTGCTACATTAGAACTGCCTGAGGACATCTGGCAGGCCATATTTCGTCTCTGATCCAGATATTTTACATGTGCCCTGAGCCCCTGGGACTGATGCAAGAGTCACATTCTTGAAAGTGACCAATTTGAGGCTACGTCCAATCATGGCGAAGACAGAGAACATCCACCTTCTTTCTAAAAACGTCGTTGTACTGAACATGCGGGTTCTTCTCCCTCCCCACACCTCACTAAAACATCATTTAAGGAATGAGAAAGGTATAAAACCACAAAGATAAAAAGAATGAGAGAAGGGACATAGGTGGATAAAAGAAATCTGACAATTTTTGGAAGAAAGTAAGTAAGTAGAGAAAGCCTATCTGGTTCAGAATGGTGGAAGAAGCCTCAACAAAAAAATGCATGTTCAGGGAAATAATCGACCCCATAGAATGCAGGAGAGATTCAGGACTTAGAATAAGCAAGTGTGATGGAGGGCCAGGCTGAAGGACAAAGCTGAAGGCAGGGTGACTAACAGGTGAATTTACTATGACACTAATGGCACATAAGCTTCAGGGCCCCTCCTTAGCACAGGAAAGGCCCTGGCATTATGTTTGTATAGCCGTTTTTGTAAAATTTGCAAAGCTAAGATAATTTTACCACAATCGTTTAAGTCTGCTATCTCTTTCCACTCCCATTTCCCCTCCATCATCAGTTTCCTTCATGTCTGGTGGCATGAAATATCCACGAGCATTTTGATGGCCCTTCTAAAATAGGATGACCATATACTTTATTATCCAAATGCAACAACTGAGAGGGAGAAAAGGATGCTATTAAGCAAACATATTAGCATACATGAAGTGATCTATTGTAGGCATATGGACATAGGGTCACCCTAAATCAAGAGGAAGCTGAATTGAGCATAGCGGGATATATTTATGAGTGTCTCATCATTTCCATGGGAGGCTTCTAGGAATATTCCCACTGCCCACTGTGCTCACTCATACGTGAATGCATCTCAACAGCGGTGTGCTAAGTGAAACAAGTTAGACTCGAGGGGTACATACTGTATGATTCCACTTATATGACATCCTGGAATAGGCAAAACTATAGACATAGATAACTGGTCAGTGTTTGCCTGGAGCTGGGACTGTGGGGAGAGGTTGACTACATAGGGGTACAAGGAAATTTTGGGAGGTAACAACTGTTCTGTATCTTGATGGTGGTGGGGGTTACATTGCTATGTTTGTTAAAATCCATAGAATTGTGTACTGAAAAAGGATGAATTTTACTATAGGTATATTAAACCTCAATAACCCTGACTAAAAAAAAATTGACAAAAAATTTTAAGGAATCTATCCCAAAGAAAAATATGCACATGTTCAGCGTTATTAATAACAGCAAAAAGTTGGAAACAATCTGAAGGTCTCTTAACAAGATAGTGGTTAAACGAATTACTTAATATTAAGTTTGGCCCTGAGTAATAGTAACAAAATAACAGGACTTTACACAGATAGAAGTTTATTTCTTTCACACATAAAAATACAGAGGTAGGCTATTCAGAGCTAAGATGGTAGCTTTGCACCAGAGCATCGTCAGGGACCTAGGTCTTTTTCAGCTTTCTACTCTGCCATACTCAGGATGTAGCCCTGGCTCATGGTCCAAGATGAAGCTCCAGCCATCATATCCCATCATCACACCCATTTCAGCAGGGTAGAGGAAAGGGAGAAGATGGGACAAAGACTGTGTCAGCTTCCTCTTAGATAAAGTGTCTAGAACATGCCACATATACTTCTGCTAACATCACACTGACTGGCTTAATCACATGGCCACAGTTAGCTGCAAAGAATGCTGGAGAAAATAGTCTTTATTGTAGGCAACCATTGCTCAGTTAAAAATTGGGGGTCAGCCAACAGTTTCTGCCACATTAGGCACCTATTCATGCTCTAAGCCATATTATGTAAGGTGAACAAAGCAAGTTACAGGACAACACATATAACACAGAGGATTCACATATGGCATATGCGTGTTTACACGCTACCTATGTATGCAAATGAGTAGAAAACCATTTGGAAGGGTGCAAACATCTGGAAAGGTAAACTGTAGTTACCTGAGAGATTAGGGAGGACAGAAGAGAGGGGAAGGTGAGGAGGAACTTTAACATTTTACTCTATACTCTTAGATATTGCTAGATTTGTTTACATCAAGAATGGTTTCATGCAGAAAGTAGAATGGTGGTTGCCAGGGACTGGGGGGTGGGAAAATGGGGATAAGTTGGTAAAAGGGTACAAATTTCAGTTATAAAATGAATAAGTTCTGAAGATCTAATGTGTAGCATGGTGACTAAAGTTAATTATACTGTATTGCATACTAGAAATTTGCTAAGAGAGTAGATCTTATGCATTCTCACATACACACAAAAGGTAACTATGTGAGGTGATGGATGTGTTAATTAACTTCATTGTGAGAATTGTTTCACAATGTATACAAATATCAAATTATCACATTATACACTTTAAATATGTTACATTTTTATTTGTCAATTATACCTCAATAAAGTTGGAAAGAACAAATAAAAACTGAGGGAAAAAAGAACAATACAATGCAGCAAGATTGATCAAAATCACTACACAAATATCAATTGCATTTCTTTACATAGTAAAATTTATCTAGATAGAGTGATTTCTAAAAGATACCTTTAGGGCCGGCTCCGTGGCTTAGCGGTTAAGTGCGTGCGCTCTGATGCTGGCGGCCCGGGTTCGGATCCCGGGCACGCCCCAAGGCACCACTTCTCCCTCCAACGGGAGGCCGAGACCCACGTACAGCAACTAGAAGGATGTGAACCTATGACATACAACTATCTACTGGGGCTTTGGGGGGGAAAAAAATGAATAAATAAAATCTTTAAAAAAAATAAAAGATACATTTAAAACAATATTAGAAAAATAGGTGGAAATAGTTATTTTAAAAGATGTGAAACTACATTATGGAAAAATCTGTAACTTTTTACTGAAGGACATTAAGGAAAACCTAATAAATGGAAAGAGGATTCCATATTTTGCACAGATATACACAACATCATAGACATGTCAATTTTCCTCAAATAGCTTTATAGATTTAAGGCAAATCCTGGGATCTGATTGTATTTGTGAAAAGCTGATTTTAAAATTAATACTAAAGAACAATGGAGAAAGAATATTTGACTTGATGGCACATAAGAACAAAGTGGAATACTTGTCTTACCAAATATCAGGTTATATTATGGAGCAACAGTAACTAAAATGATAAGGTTCTGAAACAGAGAGAAAAAGAGTACCAACTGAACCCTCACCTATATGAAGATTTTACTGAGGACAGAAGAGGCATTGGACACTTTCTTTATGACAATATGGCACTGCAAGGAAAGGACGGTGCCACTCAGTAAATAGGGCTGAAATTATTGCTATCCTTATTGGAAAAAAATGAAGTTTGATTCTGTTGACAGAATACTCAAAAATCATTCCAAACTACCAAATCCTTAAACATGAAAGGCAAAATGACTAAATGTTGAGAAAACAATATAGGAAAATATTTTTATGATTTTGGAGAGTTAATTATTTCTTAAATAAGATAAAATAATCACAATCCAAAAATCAAAAGAGTGATAAATTTAATCTCTTTAAAATTAAGATGATAATGGGTTAATATTCAGAATCTATAACAAACTCCTATAACTCAACAACAAAAACACAAACAATATGATTTAAAAAATGGACAAAAGACTTGACTAGACATTTCTCCAGAGAAGATATACCAACAGCTAACAAGCACATGAAAAGATCACCAATGTCACTAATCATTAGAGAAAGGCAAATAAAAGCTACAATGAGATACTACCTCATAGGCATTTGATAGCATTTGGCTGCTATCAAAAAAAGAAAATAACAAATATTGGTGAAGATGTGGAAAAATTGGAACCCTTGTGCACTATTGTGAGAATGGAAAATAGTGCAGCCACTATGGAAAACAGTATGGCATTTCCTCAAAAAATTAAAAATAGAATTACCATATGATCTAGTAATTCCACTTTTGGACGTCTTCCCACGAGAAATGAAAGCAGGGACTCAAACAGATACTTGTACACCCATGTTCATAGCAGCATTATTCCCAATAGCCAAAAGGAAGACACAACCCAAGTGTCCATCACCTGACGAATGGATAAACAAAATGTGGTATATACACACAACGGAACATTATTCAGCCTTAAAAAGAAAGGAAATTCTGATACATGCTACCACATGGATAAACCTTGAAGACATTATGCTAAGTGAAATAAGCCAGTCACAAAAGGACAAATAATGCATGATTCTGCTTACCCCAAGTACCCAGAACAGTGACTGGCACACAGTTAGTGTTTAATAAATATTTGTTAAATAAATGACTGAATGAATCTGCATGTTCACCACAGCCTCACATAATAAATATTCATGGAAATTGTGTCCAAAAGGCAATTTCCAGATTTTTCAAAAATTTCCATAATATTTAGGGTTTTCAATAAAAATATGGGAATCCACACCCAGTAGTTTACTGATGACTTTCACCTAAGTTAAACCACAATGAAGTAAAAACAGATGAAATATTTCCTTCCAGATTTGCTTCAAATTTTGCAGGGTCAGGAAATATGTTAATGTCCTTCCAAACACCCACAACACATAACAGCAATCAGGGGTGTGTTCCTAATTACCAAAATGGATAAGAGAAGACTATCCCTAGACATAAGTAAGTGTCAACAAAATATGATGCATGTCAGCCAAAATGGAAGTCAACTTCCCATGGGAAACAGTGACAAGAGGAGGAAAAAAACTGGTGATTGAAGGACCAGGTTGGGGAAATAATGATTCCAGTTCTGTTCTCTATTTCTGTGGAAAGAATTGTGAAAATAAAAGTAGAAAAAGTCTCAGAAACATCAAAATCTGCCTTGGCATATTAGCCCAAAACCATGACGCCAGATTTTTATTGTGTGGTGGACTGATGAGTTTTATCTTCTAAGGAGGGAAGTGAAGAATGACTCACTTACAATTTAAAAATGTAGTTAGGAACCTGAAATCGCTCCACCCAGACCCATTGCTCAGATAACCACCAACCTGAGGGCAACTGTCCTCCTACAGAATGGAGCCCCATGAAGCTAGTTACTAATTAGGAAAAATCATCCAATTATGCTAACTTGCTGAGGCCGGCAAGCCATGTTTTACTCTATGTAGGCAGAATTTCATCCAGAACACACTTGGGAATTGTCTATAAAAAGGCAAACAAGACAGTCGAGAGGAGAAGGCGCTCCATTCTGACTTCACAAATACAGCTCCGCGACACGCTTGCCCGGACACCATGTCTCTCCGACTTTCCAGTGCATCCAGGAGGGCCTGTCCCCGGCCCACCACAGGATCCCTCAGGCTCGCTGGTGGCGGAGCCAGCTTTGGGGCTGGAAATGCTTGCAGCATACCTGGAATCGGAAGCGGTTTCTCGTGTGCCTTCGGGGGCAGCTCATCGGGAGGAAATGCAGCGGGAAGCAATCTCTGCGCTGGCTTTACGGGGAACGAGGGGGGCCTCCTTTCTGGCAACGAGAAGGTGACCATGCAGAACCTCAACGACCGGCTGGCCTCCTACCTGGAGAAGGTGCGCGCCCTGGAGGAGGCCAACGCCGACCTGGAGCAGAAGATCAAGGGCTGGTATGAGAAATTTGGGCCTGGTTCTTGCCGGGGACTCGATCACGACTACAGTAGATACTTCCCGATAATCGATGATCTTAAAAATCAGGCAAGAAATTATACTCTGCAATTGTTTTTCTGTACTTTTATTTCTAAATATTTTTTTTCTTTCTTCACTGAATCCTGAAAACATGTATCATCCCTACTTGGAATGTCTTAAAAGAAATTTAAATTTAGCATTGGAAATAAGCGCTAAGTAGATTCAGTTGGTTAACCTCATGATAAATATGTCACTGAACAGTAGTAACTATACTAATTTTGATTATTTCCACTTCCTAATCTAAAAAAAAAAGACTTTTGTTTTTTATTGGTTTCTGATAAATTGCCTTTAAAAAGTCGAAATCCCCGTTTCTAGATCATTGCTTCCACCACCAGCAATGCTAATGCTGTTCTACAGATCGATAATGCCAGGCTGACAGCTGATGATTTCAGACTCAAGTAAGTAGACTCACAGAGTAAAAGAATTCATGGAGATTAATGCAAAGCATTAAATTGAATTTATTTTTTGATCCCTCCATTAAATATTACCAACTCTTATTCCAAAACTGTGAAATACTTGGATTTAAAATAAACAATGTTATTACTTTATTATACTTTGGCTATGAAATATAAAGTATGAACTGCTGTAAAAGTATAGCGTGCTATACCCTCGTTCTTTTTCTGTCAAAGAAATACCTTAAAATAAAGAAAATAATTGTTATACAATAAACTTTGAAAATGTCTCTCGTGGCCAAATCTGCCACTTCAAAATTCCAGAATTCTAGCATTTGATCATTGATTGGTGAGTATTTCTCCAACCATGTGACGAACTGGAAAATCATTAACACTCTTTAAGGTATGAAAATGAGCTGGCTCTTCACCAGAGTGTACAGACAGATGTCAACGGGTTACGCAGAGTTCTGGATGAAATGACCCTGTGCAGAACAGACCTGGAGATTCAGTATGAAACCCTGAGTGAGGAAATGACTTACCTCACACAGAGCCATAAGGAGGTGAGAGCTGACTGTCTGCATCTTGCTGGCCCTCTGCCAAAGCTACCTACCTGACAGGAGACAATGTACTTGACTTCTTAAATAAGAAATGGGTTTAAGACCCATTGCGTGGCAGGCATGAGGCCTGAGTTGCCTTTAGAAGTGATGAAGTATTTGTACAGATTCGCCCTTGCTCTCTCATCAAGTTTCCCATGGGAAAAAAAAAGAATCACGTTTTCCAGATCAATCAGCGTGACAGGAGCAGTATTTGGCTGGGTAATTATAGCTAAGTTAAAATGGCCCGCTTAGGAGATTACACCTAATTAGATAAAATAAATATACTTTAAGGACATCCTAAGAAAACTAGGTTGAAATTTCTATCTAACAGTGGCAGATTGGAAACACTTAAACATTTACTCCATACATATGTTAACTACATATACTTAATACATATTCTCAATAGGTATGGCTATAAAAATAATGAGAGTGAAACTAAACTGTTATATCAAAATTTACACCTCCAAATAAATATACTTCCAAAGTGGTCACCACTGAAAACTGGATTTGAAATCGTATCACACAGCCACTGCTCCAAACATATCTTTGGGATTGCTTTCATGACCACTGTTTTCTGAGAAAACTTTTATTCTTTGAAAATGAATTTGATATTTTTTAAACAGCCAAAAGTCTTCTATAGTCAAGCCAAATGCTTAAAGCAGGAGATCCAGTTAAGAATGTTACTTGATTAGTCATGAGGCTGTCTTGTAAATATAACTGTTGAAGAACAACATTTATATAAATATACAGGTTCAAGTGTAGTTACAGCCCACGTTAGTTACTCAACAAATTTTTGATGAATTTAACGCAATTGATTTTTTTAATGACTCACTTAAAGGCAAACCCACATGCATCTTTTTTATCTTTTTCTTTTTCTGCTTGAACTGGGGAAGTTTCCACTAAATCCTCAGATGTGAAAACTCGATCTGGAGATAGAGAAGGTATAGGGACCACCAGGGAGGAAAGGATACAGGAATTGCCTGAGGGGCTTGGTGCAGGAAGGAAAGAAAGCCTCAGTACTGTCACTGGGGCCAATCCAGGGCCTGGGATGTGGGTGGGGAGGAGGCTTTCTGCAGCAGAGACATAAGCTGATCTGTGTTATTTCAGTGTACACAGTCTTAGCAGTGAGGTCTGCCGTCCACAGTCTTAGACCTGACTCACTGGATCCCAACAGCACACACCTCAGATGGAATAAGATGTACACTTGGGCTGGAAAACTGATTCCAACTTCTATGATGATGATAGTAAACATAATAACTAGCATTTATTTAGCATTTATATGCCAGGTAGTGTTGTTGGTCTTATTATTAATAGCTCTTTCACATCTTTCAACAACCCAGAGAAGGATTTTTTTTTATCCTCAATTTTCAGACAAGAAAATTGAGACTTAAGTTAAGTAACTATCCCAAGTTCACCTAGCTACTACAGGGCAGAACTAGAATTCACATAGAGATTTGCCTGACACCAAAGTCCATCATGACACTATAATGTCCCTGCGTAAGCTTAATAGCTTAATGAACAACTAGGATTCTTTAGCGGATGATGTTCTTTATTAATTAATTAATTACAAATAAATAAATAAATATGTTCATAGTTATAAATATTTATTTGTTTATAATTATTCCAATTATTCAGAATTATTCAGACCCAGCCCCTCCACCATGTTCATGCTGTGTTCAGGATATAGCTGAGTTGAGAACACATCAAAGCTGATCTCTAAGTGAAATGAAGACCAGTCTGCCAAAGTGGAGACGCTTCAGCCGTAAATAAATAGACTAAGAGATGATGGATAACTCATTTTAAATATCTTAAGGACTTTCATTTGGAAAAGGAATTAAGATTTTTTTCTGTGCAGCAGACCTAAAATTGATGAATTCGAGTTATAAGAGTAGGAGTTTGGTTCACCGTAAGGAAGGGCTCTGAAGCAATTAAAACTCTTCCAGAAAGAAAGAAATGAGGTAGTGAGTTCACCGTCGTTGAAAGTTATGTCAGCTGGACAGGAAATATAAAATATAGAGGGCGATCATTGCACAGCCTGGGAGGTGGAACCAGATGAACTCTAAGAACCCTTCTAATGCGAAGCTTCTGGACTTCCCGTGAGCTTCTGGAATAGCTAAACTGAACCCTTTCCTGCCTCTAGGAAATGCAAGTTCTGCAGTGCGCGGCGGGAGGCAACGTAAACGTGGAGATGAACGCGGCGCCCGGGGTGGACCTCACGGTTCTGCTGAACAACATGCGGGCCGAGTACGAAGCCCTCGCAGAGCAGAACCGCAGGGACGCGGAGGCCTGGTTCACCGAGAAGGTGAGTCTTGTCCAGAAAACAATCCCTCTGCATTTTAATGATGTTCACAAAACTAAGAATTGCTCCCTCACTTATGCCTTTTCAGAGCGCTTCGCTGCAACAGCAGATCTCCGAGGATGTGGGAGCCACGACCTCAGCGCGCAATGAGCTGACTGAAATGAAGCGCCATCTCCCAACACTGGAAATTGAACTTCAGTCTCTCTTAGCCACGGTATGAGAAGGACACTTTCTTACCATCTCCTAGGTCATCATTTTCAATATGTGCCAGCTGGTTTTAAAGCCCTTATCCATGTTGAGAATATATCCATATTTTTTATGTAATTAAAACTTAAGGAAAGACTAAGGCTTTATAGAGAGCAGCTAAAACAGTAACATCAATGTCTTTAGGCTTGTTCTACCAAAAAGAAAGATTTGCTCATTTTTGAGTGTCATAGAGTCTTCTTAACTATGTGTCAATGTGAAATCTAAAACGATTACAGTACAGGCGAAGTTAACAAGAGGAGAAAGTCCTATATCAAAGCAAATTCCTGCATGTCTGTATATCCGGCTCAGGTTCTTGACCGTTTCCTGACAGAAACACTCCCTGGAGTGCTCCCTGACGGAGACCGAGGGCAACTACTGTGCGCAGCTCGCCCAGATCCAGGCTCAGATCGGGGCCCTGGAGGAGCAGCTGCACCAGGTCAGAACCGAGACCGAGGGCCAGAAACTGGAGTACCAGCAGCTCCTGGACATCAAGGTCCACCTGGAAAAAGAAATTGAGACCTACTGCCGCCTGATAGATGGAGAGGATGCGTAAGTAAAATAATCTACAGGGAAGATGTAATACACTGAAATCTGCTTGACACTTAGATCCCTGGGAAGTGAACATAAATTGAAATGATCACGTTTATTATCGTGAATGCTGAATATAAACATAATGCAGGGCCAGCCCGTGGCTTAGCGGTTAAGTGCCTGTGCTCCGCTACTGGCAGCCCAGGTTCGGGCCCGGGCGTGCACCGACCCACCGCTTGTCAGGCCACGCTGAGGCCGCGTCCCACATACAGCAACTAGAAGGATGTGCAACTATGACGTACAACTATCTACTGGGGCTCTGGGGAAAAAAAAAAGGAGGAGGATTGGCAATAGATGTTAGCTCAGAGCCGGTCTTCCTCAGCAAAAAAAAAAAAAAATAACATAATGCAGCACTGCCAAGATACAAATTAGCAACATCTTACAAAACCAAAATGCAACAAGCCCTGTATTTATGTTATGGAAAGTAAAAATATCACCTCGATGCTAAAGCAGAGTGGTTTCAACCGTGTAACCCACTGAAGCTCTTCTCACCCAACAGCTAAAGAAAATGTCAGAGTAATCTAGAATGGGAGGGGTTCTCTCTAACTCACTCTCTTCTGTGATATTTTCAACAATATGTGTTCACAGGGCTTGCAAGTCTGGAGGTTACAAGTCTAAAGATTATGGATCTGGAAACGTGGGAAATCAAGTCAAAGGTAATTGAAATTCTGTTTTATGCTATACTACTTCATTTTCAATGCACAGCTTAATTGTTTTTATATTCCCAGGGCTTAGTAAGAATAGATATAATAAAGATTTGTAGTGGATATTAATGTGTGTTAGATGTCTAACTTTAGTGATGTGTGTGCTAATTAAGTCACCATGTTTTTAGCAGACCAAGAAATCAAAACTCACCAAAAATGTTTAAGTATTTGTGCTTACTGCATAGTCCATCCTATATAAAAATCTCATTATTCTTTTAATTGATATAATTTTTTTTCATTTTTCTCAACTTTTTTGTTGTGGTAAAATACACAGAACATAAAATTTACTATCTTAAGCATTTTAAGTGTACAGTTCAGTGGCATTAAGTACGTTCCATTGTTTTGCAACCATCAACATGATCCATCTCTAGAACTCTTTTCATCTTGCAAAATTGAAACTCTATACCTATTAAACAATAGCTCCCCATTTCCTCCTCCTTCCAGCCCCTGGCAACCACCATTCTACTTTCTCTCTATATAAATTTGACTACTCTGGGTACCTCATACAAGTAGAATCATACAATATTTGTCTTTTTGTGATTGACTTATGTCACTTAGCATAATATCCTCAAGATTCATCCATGTTGCAGCATGTGTCAGAATTCCCTTCCTTTTTAAGGCTAATATTCCATTGTATGTATATACCATATTTTGTTTATCTATTCACTTGTTGATGGACATTTGGGTTGCTTCCACATTTCAGCTACTGCGATTTTATTCATCTTTTTTCAACTCTCTAAAATCTCCTTTTAAATTTTAATTTTTAGATCCAGCCAAACCTATAGTAGTTAAGAAAGTTCTTGAAGGAGGTAGACCAGTGCAGCAAAATACTCACCACCAGGCTCCACTCCTTGGAAGAGAAATCTCAAAGCAATTAATTTGAGACAGAAGAGAGAACATATGCCAAATACTCTCCAAGAAGAGAAGGCGTTATATATCTGTTGGGAAAAATGAGCAAGTCTAAGAGAAGTGTCTGTCCTGTTGTCTTTCTGTTACTGAAATATAGTCTCTATCTGGGCAATCAATAGCAGTATCTCCCCATTCATCTGAAAGAATGTCACATACAAATATGATGACTCATTTGATTACCCTACAGAAAATGTGGTCAATTCTTTGTATTCAATAAACTTTCTTCCTTGAGCAAGTTATCACTGGTGGTGGTGTCTTATCTTTAAAATGTTCATGTCTGTGGTACAGATGTATGAACACCTAACAAATTTGATTTATATGAAAACTTTTTAAAAAATAATTAACAGATTTCCCCCTAGATTTTCCTGAGGCTTTCCCAATAATTCAAAATGAGACAAATTTGGAAGGAATAAAAATACTTCCACCTAAATCCCCAATTTGCCATACTTCGACATAATAACATAATGACATGATAGCTAAAATGTATATATTTCAGATTCACTTGTAAAATAGTAATAGTAGTTCTCTCAAGTAGTTATTGTAAAAGTTAAACAAATTATTGTAAAGTGCACTTATGGAGTAAGTACTCAGTAAATGCTAACTTTTATTTTTTAGTACTCAATATTTATAATGACCAATTTTCAAATTTCGTTTCCTCTTTGAATGTATATTTAAATAATATTCCAAATGTAAGGGAGGTTAAAGCAACAGCTCTGATTTAGAATTCAAGTTCTAGTAACGGAGTCATTCACTCGTATTACAAAGTACACTTGATGTTTATAACTCAATCTTGATCAATGGATTTATATCTAATAAAGAGAAATAAATAATAATTTCCTCAGATCAAATATTACCCCTAGATACTTAGTTGACTCTGAATCCTCTATGGAGGGGTTATTCATATCGTAATCCATCCATGAAAATTTGATCAGGCTCCATCTGAAAACATGGAGAAAAGATGTTGGGGTCCTTTAAGGGCATGAGAATTACCCTTGAATTACTTTTATTGTCTTCTTCTAATGAATCTTAGCCAGAAGCCACTAGAGTCAAAATGCCTAATTATGCCCCCATCAGGTTATGTGAAACAAAAACATTATAATCTTAGAGAAAATTCCACTTGGGAAAAATACCTTGCAATTGTCTAAATGCTGACGGAATCTACATCACTCTTCCCACCTATCGTCAAATCTTACCTCATCAGAGTGATGCTTTCAAACATAAAGCTTTACACGACTGTATCCACTTGTCAAAATTCATAGGCCTGGGGCCAGCCCAGTGGCACAGCGGTTAAGTGCCTGCGGCTCCGCTTGGCGGCTCCAGGGTTCACAGGTTCGGATTCCAGGAGCGCACCAACGCACCGCTTATCGACCCATGCTGCGGCGGCATACCATACAAAGTAGAGGAGGATGGGCACAGTTGTTAGCCCAGGGCCAATCTTCCTCAGCAAAAAAGAGGAGGATTGGCAATAGATGTTAGCTCAGAGCCGGTCTTCCTCAGCAAAAAGAGGAGGATTAGCATGGATGTTAGCTCAGGGCTGATCTTCCTCACCA